TTAATAATTAAAAATTCAAAATAATTAAAAGTAAAAATACTCATAAATTCAATTTTAATAATTCCAATACAGTGATTTGTTCAGCACAATATGATATAAAGCTCAATAATTCAATAACAATGATTTGTTTGGCACAATACGATATAAAGCCCAAAGTCAATAACAGTAATTTGCTCAGCACAATATGATATAAAACTGTCAGTGATTTAATAAGTTCAATATAATATAAGACCACTTATATATAAGATTTGAAGTGTATAAAGAAAATATGAGAGACAGGAAGTATTTGGAGGAAGATTTTTGTTAAGAGAGATTTTTATTTTTAGTTATAACACGTCGAGTTAAGACTCAGATAGCATCTTTATTTATACATTTTTCAAAATTACAAAAAGTGAAATAAATAATTATAAAAATATATAAAAGTGAAATAATTAAGTATAAAAATGAAAAGTGAAAAGTGAAATTTCGAAAAAGTGAAAAATAAAAAGTGAAAAATTAAAAAGTGAAATAATTAAAAGTGAAAATATATATATATAAGTGAAAAATAAAAAGTGAAAAATTGAAAAAGTGAAATAATAAAAGTAAAAAAAATAAAAAGTAAAATAATAAAAGTGAAATAATATATATAAAAGTAAAAAATAAAAAGTGAAATTTCTAAAAAGTGAAATTTCTGAAAAGTAAAAAATAAAAAGTGAAAAATAAAAAGTGAAATAATAAATAGTAAAATAATAAAAAGTGAAATAATACTAGAAGATTTTATTGTTATATGAATATTTTTGAAATTTTCATGTTTTTCAATTATTTTTGAATTTGTGATTTTTATGTTACTATTATAACAATATATTACAAACAAGTTTTCTTATGACAACTTAGTATCTTAATATTAAAAAAGCTAAAAGAAAATTTTTTAATTAAATTTAATTTATAATATTATATCAAAATTAAGATTAAATATTTGAAAATAATAGAAATAAAATATATTATTAAATAGTTTTAAAAAAACTTATTCACAATATATTAAAATATATTTATAAATTTTTATATATTTTTAAGCAATTTCTATAATGCAAAAATAAAAAAGATATATTTTTCTCATTATATATAGTGAGTATTGTACAAATATATAATATAAAAATAACAATATTACTAGACTATTTCAAGTTTATAATCAAAATTAAAAAGAAATTATCAAGATAATTAACTTGTCAAAATTTAAGTTCAAATCTATTTTACTTCTATTAAGCAAAGTATTACTTATATATAAAATTAATTGTTACAAAAATCTCTAAATATCTATAATATTAAACTAATAAAAATTTTATAGTTTAAAAGATCAATAGTTCAAAATATTAAAGATTCAATATCTCTAAAAATTAATAATTCAAATAATTAATATATTTTTTATGTTATATTTATCATTTTTTGTATAACATGTTAGAAATTAACACAGATTAATATTTAATCCTTCTTAATATTTTATCAAATAGATTAGATGTAAAATATAGATTACTTTATTAATTTAGACACATCTTGTTTTTAATTCCTTTCTTTTTATTCATTTTTTTCTTTTTTATTTATTATTTTTAAATTATTTTTTATTATTATTTATATTGTTATATTATTATATATTTTTCACTAATTGGATAATTAGTTAATAAATGTAAACAAAAGTTGAGAGAGATAATTAAACAAATATAAGAATAATACAAAAAAATAATATCTAAATTCTATGCCAATTTTTACTGAAATTATTATAATTTGAAAGAGAAAAAGAATAATATAATAGTAATTTCAATTAGGTATAGTGTTCCAAATAATTATACTAATTAATTAATTTATAAATTATTTAATTAAAGTAACTAATAATTTAATTAACTAATTAAAATATCAAATTAACAAAAGTAATAAAGACTCTTTCACTTTGTTCTTCTCACAAGAAAAAGATTATAATGTCTTTAGTTAAGAAATTTCAAATAATTTAATTATAACAAAAATATCAAAAGACTAGTCTATAACAAAATATTAATTCAATAATTTAATATTAATATTTTGATTAGCTTAATATAGTCTTAAAATTACTTATTTACAAGATTTGAAGTATACAATTAAGAGAGGAAGGTGAATTGTTTAAGTGTTAAAAGATATTTGTTTTATTATATTATTTATTCTCAAGTTTTAACATATTAAGTTAGAACTCAACTATAACTCATATTTATATATTTTCTATAAAATACAAATATAATATTAAAAACAAGAAAAAGATATAAAAGATAATTATACTAACTAAAAATAAAATTCCAATTTACTAAATATGAAAAGTAGAGAAATAAAGGAGAAAAAGTATAAATCTTCAAGAAATTTGATTGGTTAAATTATATCTACTCAGAATAAATAAGTATAAAAATATAAAAATATAAAAAATATAAATATATAAAGTATAAAAAGTATAAAAAGTATAAAAGTATAAGATAGAAATGATATAAAAGTATAAAAGTATAAGAGTACAAAGTATAAAAAGTATAAAAAGTATAAAAAATATAAAAGTATAAGATAAAAATGATATAAAAGTATAAAAGTATAAGAATATGAAGTAAAAAAAGTGTAAAAAGTATAAGAGTACAAAGTAAAAAAAATAAAAGTATATGAATTCTAATATTAATAATATATAAAGAAATTGTGAAATGTTCTAAGTTCTTTACATAATTTTCATAATTTCATGAAATATTATAAATTATAGAATTAACAAATTTTATAATATAATTGTAACAGTACTCTCGTAATAAAACATAAAGTCATATTAAAACAATAACAAAATTTACTAAAATATAAATAAAATTAATTAAAATTATAAATATTTTTAAACTTATATAATATTTTGGATATTTATTTTAAATATCAATTATTTTATATTAATTTATAGCTTTAATTATAATTTATAACTTTAATTAGAACATCATTAAATATTTATATAAACTCAAATTAGATTTTTAATTAAGTTTAAATCTGATTAAAGTTTAAACTGAACTCAAATCAGACTTTTGATTGAGTTCAAATTTTTAAATCAGACTTTTGATCAAGTTTGAATCTAGTTCAAGCTCAATTGAATTAAACTCAAATTAAACCAGACTTTTTTGGAATTCTAGCTTGAATTATTTTTGTTATTATTATATAATTTAATAAACCAATTATTAATAACTCAAATCTTGTTCAATAAAATTATTTAAGAATTTTATTCTATAAAATAATAAAATAAAAAATAAAATAAAATAAAATTAAATTAAACTAAATAATTAATTAATTAATTAAAATTAAATAAATTAATTATATTATTCTAATTTTCTACTATAAAATCAATATATTGAATAAACAATTTGCTATAAAGTATATTTGATAACAACAAAAAACAATTATTTGACAATTTCAATTAGTTAATTTGAGAGTTAACTAATTAATTAATTATCTTGTACTTGCATATTATTTTTATACATATACTAATATTACAAAAATATAAGTTAAATGCTTATTTAACTTCATAGCAATAAAATATTTTCAGAAATATTATAAATCTAAATTTTATGTAATTGGTTATAAATCAAACTGTTCTGAGCTAGCTATTTGTATGGTTCTATAAAATTCTGTTCAGTTTTACTAGTAGAATCCAGTTTTATAAAACTGGAACTGAACTGAATTATCTCTAGTCCAGACAGGAATTTTGTAATTTTGGAACATGATATCTCATGATCCACAGGTTCAATAATATCACCATTCAATTCACCTAGTCTTGATGAATTGATGATATATTTTTTGTCTTGATTGAATTAGTGAATTGTGAGATATCCTGTTCCAAAGTTATCCAGATAGTTTTTTATTTTTATCGATTTAATACAGAAATTTTATAACTAAACCTATGGTTTTCTGGAACTAAAATACTCGGATTTTTGCCTGATTATTTTGTTGTAGGGCTCATCCAGATGAATCAGATGATGGTATCTATTCAAATCGGATAATTGAACATAATGTTATCACATCCATTTTTTTCATAAAAATTAATTGAAAATATTCCTAATTGAATTCATGTTTCTATTTTGACTAATGATGGCTGAATAAAGTATTAATCTATTAATTAATAATGTAAAAAAATAGTCAAAGAAAATAAAATGCTAATTTGTAAACTGATTTTTCACTAGATTTTATGTTATTTATTTTAACGACGATCCTCTTGTAAGATGAAGATTTTTGACACATAGTCTCTATTTATAATTATATAATTAAAAAATAACAAAAAATAAAGCTGGTTCTATTTATAATTAGTATCGGTATGATTACTATTTAGTTTTAATATTAGCGTTAACGTTAACATATTTTTTAATTCAGAGATGCATGTAATCATTTTGTTTCCAAACGTGTAATGGTTACTTGTTGAGCCACTCTTAGATATCTTCACATTTAACCAATTCAAAAAAGAAGTTTGTGGGCTCAATGGGAATTAAATAGTTAGAGCAGCGAAATTTTGAATCGCTATCTTTGTTAATTGTCATTTGTGTTCAGGAAGTAGCATTTGTTTTTTTGATAGTTCGAACAAATCGAGATCTAAAAGAAAATCATGCTCAATTGATTTCATTGGACAGCGCACACGGGAAAAACGCGCATCACGTCAACAAGATCAGTGGCGGCGCTTTCGATGAATTTAACTATTCATAGCATAATTATCTAGATCGTGTAATTAAATTTTTAATTGACTTTATTTTATCATTTGCTCAGATGATAAATGATGATTATATCAATATTATGTCAGTATTGGCGGATGCTGATTAATTATTCACATAGACAATCGGGCAAATAAAAGGACGCCTTTCCTGTCTTCTCTGTCTTTCATAACTTGAATAGAGATAATTCACTTGCACCCAACTATTAAATAAATCTTGACAATGAAACCATCAAGCAAACTTTTCCGTTTTGTGTTTCCTTTTTTCATGTTGATAATTAGTCTCTTGGCGACTATGGTTTACGGGAGTGATAAGGTCTACGCACAGCAAGCATCAACTACTTTGACTGTGTAAATTTTATTTAACTTTTGGAAATGAAATCGGAAATTCATTGTATCTTAGCAATGTGATGGTTATTTACATGTATTTTTAATTATTAGAACTACTACTATTCCTGCCACTACAGAGACTCGAGGTCCAGGAGGTAATTCTCAGTTTTCTATTCCATTCTACGCTGACAGCATTTACCATTTTGAAACACAATAAATAGTAATCAATCTATTTTTTATTTATAAGTTACTACAACTACAATAGTTGCACCTCTTCCCACTTCAACTGTTACAGTTACATTCAGCTCAACCACTCGTTACGAGACGTACACTGAAACCACCACATCACCAACAGCCACCGAAACCACAACTGCTACTTCCACCGAAAGGACTCCTGGCGTACCATCTCCAACTCCTACTGGTGCTGCTGTTCCATTATTTTCCATTGCTGTCTGGCAAATCATGAGCGGAGGTTTGGTAGCTACGGCTGCAGGATTCTTCTTGCTGGGATGATATAGTGATGAATGTTAACATTGATCTAATATGAATATGTAATATGTAGTTTGAATGCTTACTATAATAACGATAATGATGTATATCACATATTAAATACACTATAAAAAGTACAGTATTATAAATAAATTGTGCAACAACAAAAGTAGTTATATATGTACCGGTACGCAGTAAGTAATTCTTAAGCTGATGATGATAAAATGAATCTATTAAAAAGAAATTCTTTGATGATAGTGAAATTAGTATGTGTTATTGCAGTTGTGTTCGGCGAAGTTTTGATTTTTTATTTGGCAATGTGGAACTGTGAATGGCCCATCGATGAGGATTGGGTAAATTAGTGTTAGTTTTTATTCTTGTTAAACAGCATATTATGAAATAAGCTTCGGATAAGTTATAATTGTATCCAAAAAAAAAAAAATAGGATATTACACTCGGTAAACCATATCGCATTGCGTTAATAACCGACCCACAGATAATCGACGAGTATTCATATGGACGCCATGGGATTCTTCAATGGTGTTCTGAAACTTTTCCGGACTTTTACATGCAAAAAAACTGGAAAAATTTGCAACGGCAATTAAATCCAGATGCGATTTTTGTGTTGGGTGATTTGATGGATGGCGGGCGAGAATGGGACGATAACAAGTAACAAAACAATTCATTAATTATGTTGAACCTTTGATTATTTCAGGAGATAGGAACTAATTGGTTTGGTAATTTTCTTTTCAGATGGAGTAAAGAGGCTGATAGATATCGACAGCTTTTTACGCCGATTAATTTGATGAAAACTCCAATTTATTATTTGGCTGGAAATCATGATATAGGATTCGGAAATAAAATAGTTCCAATGGCATATGCTAGATTCCGTAAATTATATGGAAAGACAAATTACGTTGTTTCTCTCGGGAATCACACTATTGTTGTTGTTGATACAGTAACTTTGAGTGGTGATAACGAAGCTTTGAAAACTGAAGCAACAAATTTGATCGAATCTCTATCAAAAGGTAAAGTTAAACAGAGACATAAGTCTAAGTTTGCTGTGAAGGATAAATTGATTCAAATAAAAATTATTTGTGTAGAAGAAGCCAAACCTCCCAGGATCTTAATGACCCATGTACCACTTTATCGTCCTCCACAAACGGATTGTGGTCCACTTCGCCAGAATAATCGTTATATCGAGCAAGGAGCCGGATATCAATATCAAAACTTGGTTGAAGAATCTTTGACACGGTTTATTTTGAATGGGGTGAAGCCCAAGTTGATATTTAGTGGAGATGATCACGATTATTGTGAAGTTCAACATCCAGTCGGGGAGAATGATAATAGCGAAAGTTATAATGTTACGGAGGTGACTGTGAATAGTTTTAGTTTTGCAATGGTAAGTAGCATAGCTTGAGGTTGGTTGTATATCTTCTTCGAATCTTTTAATAATGGATTTATTTGAACTTATCAGGGAATACCTAAGCCAGGATTTGCACTTCTCACTCTCTACAATCCCACCGAGGCAATTCAATCAAAAAAATCAACGTCGTCGACGTTTTCATATTCCCAGTGTCTTCTTCCAAACCAACTATCGATCTACTTTAAATACATTTACCTTGCCCTCGGCACCTTATTCTTCATCTTTATACAAACCTTATTTCGATTCAGACGAATGCGCACAATTCAATTACCTGTAACACGGCAATTTCGCAGAAAACAATCTGGAATCTTGCAAAATTCCATGTTTTGGAAAGTGTTCTTCAGACAGTTTGGGTGGGTGGTTGTTTGGGGTGTCGTGACTTTTTTGGTGTGTTGTTTGTGGTGGATAATTTAATTGATTGATTGATTGATTGATAGATTTATTAGTTTTTAGAGAATATTTATGCATTTACATGATAATATCCATCAAGCATTGGTAATGTTTAGATAAATATTTAATCTTAATAGTCTTGAAATTATGAACACAACAAATAAAAATAAAAAAAGAGAGATTAAATATGTAGCAAAATCGTAGTTAATTAGTAATATAAATTTCTATATTTTCTTAAAATACGAATGACGGTATCTTGAGTAAACTCAGGCGCTCGTTGTAGCCATCGAAGTGCTTCATGAAGATCTCTATTTAGACCAATACCGAGCTCATAGCAAGTCCCAAAATTGGACTGAGCACTTCTATTTCCAAGGTTGGCCGCCTTTCCATACCAATAAGCAGCGTACCTTTTATTAATCTTCAAATTACTGCTGTTGCCACCACACTGATAAAGATACCCGAGCCAATCCATCGCGCGAGATTCCCCTTGAGCAGCCGCTGTCATAAACCAAGAAAACGACTTGTCGGCATTTTTCGCGGTACCAATTCCCCGATAATGGCAAATTCCAAGCCAGAATTGGCCAGCTGCCCAATTCTGTTCGGCGGATTTACGATACCATTTGTATGCTTCGGTAGGATTGACATCTGTGCCGACTCCATCCTTGTAACAGTAACCTAAATTACATTGTCCACTTTTATCATTGCCTTCCGCCGCTTTTTTGTACCAATAGAAAGCTTTCTCCAAATCTTTTTCTACGCCTTCACCGTTATTGTAAAGACTACCGAGCCAAGTGTGCGCTGTGACATAACCATTGTTTGCGGATTTTTCAAGCCAGTAAAAGGCTTGTTTGTAATCCTGCTTGACGCCAAATCCATTGTGATAATAAGAACCGATTTGGTTTTGTGATAACGGGTCGCCGACATCAGCTTTCATCTTATAATATTTGAACGCTTGTTCCTCGTGAATCTTGCAGCCAATTCCACGACTAAATAAAAAGCCCAAAAACGCTGCATATTTCAATTCGTCTCGATGTGTATACACAGTTTCGAATAACAATTTATCCTCGATTTTATGTTCAACCAACCATTTATTCACGGATTCTGTTATCGCTTCGTCGTATTCAAAACGATTGTTCATGTCATTGAATATTTGTAGCGGTTCGTCAATTAGTTCTGTCGTTGACGATGGTAGATTGGTTTTCGACTCTTCATTTTCGAATATTTCGTTGGTATTATTTAAAATATTAACCATATCGATATTATGTGTGTATATCGTTACTTTGGTTGGAATGGTGATTTGTGTCAATATTTATACTGTTTATATGTAGCACCATTGTCACATTGTTTAAAAAAAGGTAGTACATGTATTAATTAATCTATTACGACATCGATTGCGATTCGTCTTTAAACGTAGCGTTAGCAACAACACCATCTTTATTGCCCTCCAATTCGATTTCAATTTTTGATCTCTCATTCACATCCGTCTCGTTTTCAATCTCTTTTCCCTTGCTTCCATTCAATATATTTTTGTAATAGTGGAATCACTGATGTCATTTGCTATCGGCATCAAATCGTTCACTAGAGAAAATTGTCGGTGTGACTTCTTCAAATCGAGATTTTGGCAGCAGTATAATAATTTCATAAATCCCGTTGTGATTTGATATCACTGATTAGATCTCAAAATATTATAATATATATTGCAATCAAACCTGGATATAACAAATTGGTCGGGCTGCTAGCAAAAACTTTGAAAAATTCAAGTTTATTTGGTAAATTCGGTTTATCGAGGTGGATTTATTATAATTGTTCCTGGACCAATTTCAGTTTGTCCAGATTCAATTAGTGCTTCCAGGTTCGTTATCCATGTTTAGTACAACTAAAGTAAAAAATATACGTATATAAAATACACAACGTTATAAAAAGTTACTGAAGAAAGTCTCTTTTTCAGATGATTTCTGGTGTGCTTTCGTTTTCATGTCCGTGTGAACGAACACAATAAAGCTTCAAATGGCAAATTATCAATATCATGCCAATACATGTACATGTACCAAAACCCCTAAATGCAAAGCTGAATAATATACATGTACGTACATGTAGTTACGGATACGTAATACATTCTGCACATAGTACCACATAGCCATGGCGAAAAAAATGTACGGTGCACGGGATTTGAAATAAGTCCATTAAAATATCTGATTAATAATAGATATCAAGTATTAGGGTTAGGGTTAGAGATGAGGTCAAGTTAATTTATAAAATTGTCTTCCCGACATTTTTTGATAGTGCTCCAAGCTGGATTTAGACATTTGTTTTTGTATTTTTCGCATTTTTTGTCTTTTCTCATTTTCTTGTACCGGATTTGTTTTGTCGGGTTGATCAAAAATTTGCTACCTTCCTATTGGTTGCGCAGAATTTTTGCGCATTCTTATTGGTTGGATTGGTTCATCATCACGTGCACCGTACATTTTTTTCGCCATGGCTAGGGTACTAGTCTGCACGGAAAATAAAGGTAATGGCGACTGTCGAATTTCAAAGCGCGATCAACATACGTAACATATTTCACATGTTGCACATCATTCATTCTTTGTTTTGTTACCAGAATGTAAACAAAAAACGACTTATATTACCTTTTCAAATCTCCCGTAAAATCCAGGCGTGAGACTGTGAAGCAATTATGGCGAAGTGGCTGGCACAATGGTAGAGAAATTTCGCAAAAAACTGGCGTTCCACTTTGTCCTTATGAACGTTACGTTGCTTCGCTTCGAAAAAATATACAACTTCCGGATATTCGTCGTTCTGGTCGTCCACAAAATATTTCGCCTGAAATGCGCCGCCAAATCGGTCAAGTCATAAGTTCAAATCATTTCCTTACGACGGCTGAAGTCAAAGCGCGGCTTGAAGAAACACAGCCAAGATTCGAAGTAGATGTGCAAATTGTTCATGACGAGCTTCATAGGCTCGTTTATATTGCTGCTTTGCCGAGACGGTTCCTCTTCTCACCCAGCAAGCGAAAGAGAACCGATTTCAATGGGCACACAATCATCTTGATTATAACTGGCGCAATTATCCTGTTTGGCATGGTCGCGTTTTGGAAAAACTGTTACAACAACGGTGAAACATCCGTTAAAACTTCATATATGTGAGTGATTTGTGCAGTGGCAAAGTCGGAATGTGCACGTTTACACAAAACATAGATCAGCACCTTTATCGGAAGCTCGGCTGCTAGGACGCGTTCTTCTGTGGCCGTCATACAGCCCGATCTTTAATCAAATCGAAATATTGGGCATTCCTCAAGCACAATGTTGAAAAAAAGTTTAAAAAAATTGTTGCGCAAAAAAAACGTGTTACTGGAGAACCTGCCGGATGAGGTGATCTTTAGCAGTGTCAGCAGTATGCGAAATCGCGTTCAAGCCTGCAATGACGCATACTAAATATTAATGTCGTATGTGGGCACATTGCCCTACTCAGTGCGTTTCAAAAATAGTTTTTTTTGCGATTATTAATAAATTTTTTTATTTTTGAGCGTCATTACTTTCCGTGCGAACTGTATCGATATAAATATGTATAACAATTACCGTTACATCTACTTTTTTAAACATGTACTTATCAGTGGATTCAATCATGGTTAATCGCAGTTCCATTTATAATAACTTTTTAATTGGTCATCTGATAGAAATAACCAAATAGACTGTAACCAAGAGTATCAAAAATCGGCCAGTCAATTTTTCGACTTAGTTAATTTTTAGTACAATAATAACGAAAATTATATTAAAGAGAACTCTCCCTAAATGCATCCTCTATAAATGCACACACTAAATACATGTATATCCTCACTCTGGCTCAGTCCCGAGTATATATGACCTCTAATTATTTATTCTCCATAAATGCACACCCTCCCTAAATGCACATTTTGTCTTTTTTTTTATATGGTCCCGGGGGGTGCACTTAGGGAGAGTTCTCTGTAATTACTATCTACATGTAGTTCTAAAAATCAGCTGAGCGTAGAGTTTAGAACCGGATTTATTTTTAATATTAAAATTCGGATTTCAAACCGAATTCCAATATTAAACATAAATCCGGTTCCAAATTCTAGCTGAGCCGACTAGGCCGAAAATCGACTTTGGCCGGTTTTTTGATTATCAGCCAGAATCACTATCGCTATATTATACATATCCGAATTTAGACTTTAACCGGTTAAGATTTAACGTTAATGTTAACCGACATCCAAGAATTCATGTTTCACTTGGAATGATGCCGATTATTTCAATGTTTTTTATATTTCATATCATAAATGAATGCTTATACGTACGCATGTTTAAATTTTTATCAATATCGTGTGTTTATCTTTCTGATTTAGTCGAGCAGGTTTGTTGCAAACTGAAAAATTTTTTGAGTTCTGTACATTTTCGAGTTGTTTCTAATGTAGATACGTAATAAGTCGGATAAGGAGAGCTTACTTAGTCACTCTGCTATTAATATTATGATTGCAATATGTATGCTTCAGTGCATTGCATTTCTTTTGTATAAAAAGTACTCAAAAAATTTACACATAGATACTAATTTATTGAAAACTTTGCCACAAGCCTTCAAAAAGTCCATATTGGTGTTGAAGAAGTTCCTAATAAGTCAGAAAAAATCTTTTTGCTTTTTTTTAAAAAAAAATGATATATGCTTGGAAATTTATTTTAATTTTTGCAAATAATTATTTTATGTTTTAAACTAATAAAGCTGCACAATAAACTTTAATAAAATGAAAATTCTTATTATTTATGGTACATGTATCTAGTAGAATAAGCCATAAGACAATTTTAGAAATTTAAATTGGCGTTTCGATTCGATTTTATAAGATGCATATCGATAAAAAAATGATGAAAGCAAAAGCGAATGTTACGTTGTAGCGGTAGCGATACTCGTATCAATCGACTTGATTTGGTATTAAAATTGCGAATTTCCAAGCACTTGGATCTAGCATTTTCCAATTATCCTGATTCTTAAATTACGATTTTTATTAAGAATTAATTGGACATAAGGATTTACCAATAAAATAAAAAGCCAATGACTTTTTGAAATTACTTTATTTTTTTTAAAAAAGAAATGAAGACATTGATAACTTTAATTAACATACGGTTTCTAAAACGAAAGCAAAGTCTAAAAAACAAATAAAGTATTGAATTTTTTACAATAGATGCTATTTTGGTTGTTATAGGAGATTGAATGTTGTTGATTAGTTTATTTCGAATCTTTAGATTCTAATTGATTTTCATTATTTTTATCTTTTCCAATTAACTGCACACGTAAACCCATTTTATCCTTTACAATCATTTTTTCTTCTAGGAAACGTAAATCACTAGAAGCTAAATGATGACAACCGACCGACAGGAATTCCTCTAGTCCCTCCAACGATTCCCAATCTCTAAGAATTGCATGTCGTCCATCGTAAAAACAACAATATCGAAATTTGATCTTAATTAATGAGGTTGGTCGAGTTTTAAGTGTTTCCAATATTTCGGTTAATCCTACATCGATATTTGCGAATTCAACTTCCTCAAGATATTTCAACTGATGAATTAAAGTTGATGCGCAGACAGCATATTTCAATTGGTCATCAGCATACAAATATGAGCCGAAATTACGAAGTCGAAATCTCAATTTACGAATTTTTGGGTGTTGTTCGCCTAGCATGGCAAAGAAACCTTCGATATGCTCGTTTGGCAGTATCGCCCAATGCTGTGCCGAAATAGTCACCTCTGCAAGATTAGAAGCACGACGAATCATTTCTTTTATGAGCGCATAACAAACTCTGTTATGCCCGATCGGATAGGCGAATCCTTCAGTCAAGTAAGGGAATAGTATGTTAACCGCAGTAATCACATGACGGTCGTTTAAATTCTGAAGAAATGCAATGTAATCAAAAGTGGGTGAGGAGCGGAGTTTAGGTATTCGAACGTTCCAGGTTTTTACCGCAGCCATATCATCGCCAGTCACATATGCAAAGTACACTCGAAGCAGTGAACGTATTTTAACTAGATCTTGATCCCATGTTGTAGGTAATAGTTCGAATGGATTTCTCCATAAAATAGGAACGGTTGTACGACACCAGTCACGACTTACGAGCAAAGTGGCATAAAGAGAACTTTTATCGGTTGCCAAATTCTCGATGATTTCGTGGAGTACATCTATAGGTAGACGTGGATGATGATGTAGAGAAGGAGATGAAGATGAAGATGATATTGCGAAGAGTGACTTTGATGACGATTTTGTAACTGTTGATGGTATGGTGATGGTAATGGTAGATGATAATAATTCCATAATCGATGATTTGATTTAAAAAAATAATAATGACAAAATAGAAAAACTAAATAGAATAATAATTTTTTGTATTTTTAGTGATAATAATAGCCGTATATTTTTGATTCAATGGAATTGTTTGGCTGTATATTTTTTTGTGTTGCAGTAGAAACAAAACGACACTTATTATCCAAGTCGGGAAATGTCTGAAATAATAATCATCTGTATCACAATAACGATAACGATAATGTGTACATCTTTTTATCACCAAACGGAATCGGAATTAGGAAAATCGACGAATTAGAATTTTAAATATACGTAATTATCTAACGAAACTCGAATGAATATTAGCGTTAGTTTTGCTCTTTCATTAATGACTAAAAAAAGGAAAAAGCAACAATCACAACAAATAATCAACAATCCAGCTGTATCGCTAGGCTGTGCACACGCCATATTGTGTGGGTGTAACATTTTTTTCATATTACTTTTAACCAATCGGATATAAATTCTTGTCAGAGATATATTTTGCTGTCATCCGTGAATATGCTTCAATGAAAAACAGAAGGTGTAATTGTCCGTATGCGTGAATGCCAAAAAAAATAACGGCATTCAAGTGAAACATCTCTAAAACGAATTTAAATCGTTTAGAATGAAAAAGAATACAAATAACTTTTGTGAAGCACGCGTGGTTGTTTAAGATGATATTTCTCTAATATTAAATAATTTACAGATACAATACAATTATAAATGCTCATATGGTGTACAATTTACATCAAAACAATATATATAATACAAAATGTAGAAATTCAGGTGGTATCCAAAACTTGCACTTCAATCCCCGATGCCCCATTATAAGTTTCATAAGTGACACGCGTAGGTTGTTGTCTTATCGCACGATCGACTTTTTGACGTTCTTGAATGGTAAATTTATCGTTCGAATCGAAAGCCAATGCTCGATCAAGATCCCAAATCGCTTCGCTGTATTTTCCCAAGCCACGATTGAGTGATCCACGTTGACTTAATGCAAAAAAGTTATCCGGGTCTAAATGTAATGCTTGATTCAGATCGTACATCGCTTGGTCGAATCGTCCAAGAATTCGAGCTACGGCGCCTCGATTCGCGAAAGCTAGTGTTTGATAACGTCGTCCGAATACGTCTAGAGGTTGATTGTGTAATGCAGAATCAAGATCGACTAATGCGCGATTATAGTGTTTCATTGATCGGTATATGCTACCACGTATAACTAGAGGGAACCATTGGTGTGGGGCAATTTCTAATGCGTAGTTCAAATCTTTGATTGCTTCAATATAACGCTCTTGTTTCTCATAGACTTGTGCACGGAAACAAAGTGTCCAAGCGTCATTAGAATATGTTCCCAAAATATTATCAAAGTCAAAAAGTGCTTCATTATATTTTCCCATTGCAAGATAAACTGACCCCCGACTACGTAATGCATCTCGGTCAGTAGGACGCATTTCGAGTGCTTCATCCAAATCTATTAATGCCTCGTAGTAGAGTTGCTTCCAGAAATAAACGTCGCCTCGAATTGCAAGAGCGTGAAAATTTGCTGGATTCTTTTGTAAAATTGTGCTAAGATCTACAAGAGCCACATCAAAATTATCTAATTTACGATAGACGGCTGCCCGACTCATTAATGCCGCTGTTGGATCTATAGGTTGTAATTGTATAGCCTTATTTAAATCTTCTAATGCTTCCTCGTAGCGTCCAAGCATACGATATACATCTCCACGAATACTTAATCCAAATGAATCATTTGGCTCCAATGTTAATAGATTATTTAAATCCGAAAAAGCACTATCGTAATCTCTAACCTGTGCATATATAGCACCACGATTTTTTAATGCAGCCAAATTGTTTGGTTCTAAATCCGATGCGGTTAAGAGATCATTGATTGCTTGATCGAAATTGCGTTGTAAACGGTGAACCTCGGCACGCCAAAGTAATGCATCGAGATTGTTTTGATTCAGTTCTAATAATTTGTTAAGATCACTCAACGCCTCATCTAATTGATCTAATTCTAAATAAGAATTGGCTCGAATCCTATAAATTAAGCTTTGATCCTCATTTGCATCGCCATAAAGTAATGCTCGCGATAAATCTTGAATCGCAGCCAGATAATTCTTTTCGAGATAAAATATTTCACCACGTGTTTTATATGCCGTCGCAACTTTAGGCTCGAGTTTTAGCACCCTATTTAAATCCTCAATACCATTTGGATAATTCTTCAATTTTAGAAAAATATTTGCACGCGTAATTAATGCGTCAATATGATCCTGTTCAATCGATAACGCTTTATTGATATCGATCAATGCTGCTTCATAGGCCCCTTTAATATAGCAAACTACGCTACGCAGACACCAGCCACGTGTTTTATAAGGTTTACGATATATTGCAGTATCTAAATCGTCAAACGCTTTTTCGAATTCTTTTAGTTTCATATATGCTGATGCTCGATCACACATAGCATTATAGCTATCCGGATATTGTTCTAAAACTTTGGTGAAACATTGAATAGCTTGCAAATATTGTCCTTCTTTAATTGCAATTTCACCATTTCTTTGTGACGAATTTAATGCCTTTGGGCCACGAAAAACTCCAGGTGTAGAGTATCGTTTAATATTTGAGACTGGACGAGAATTGATTATTAATTTAAACGCTCCACTTAATCGTTTAGAAGTGTCTTTTTCTTTTTTCTCGCTATTTTTATTGTTAATGTTCTCAACGTTATCAATTTTAAATATTTGCAAGGGACTTTTGTTTCCGAATATAATAGCGCTATGTCTTTGGGGACTTTTTAATGGCGAAGATTCCGAAGAAAATGTCATTGATTGTGGCCTTGGCTTATGTCGGCCTTGAGGCTAAATTCATAAATCGATTTTATATTGTTAACTGATGTTGCTTAAATCAACATTTAAATGTAAATAATTTTTATTTAATTTCTCACCTCTCGAACTCGAATACCTGCCATATGATCGGTTCCTGCTTTCCAAGTGACGTTGTTAGTAATCGCTGCGCTGGTATCGATTTGTAGTCTTTCCAATACAACAGAATTTCGGTCCTTTTTAACTATAATTGCGGGATTTCGTGTGAGTTTTGGCGTCGATTGTTTAAACATTTCCAAATTGCGAGATATAAAAATAGAGAAAGAGAGGGGAGGGGAGGAAGATAACCAAACTCAAGCTCAAAAAGCTCGAAATAAATTCAAAAAAGGAGAATAGGCTAAATGAAGAAGTAAGCACGATTCTCGTGTACAGAGATCTCGTGGTCTTTGCATCCATTTCGCAAAATTCCCCTGAATATATAACGATAAATTATGATTTAATGATCAATTGTTTGAAAATAGAATCGGGCTGTATTTGTTTTTATTCACATTCTATTCTCGGGTGTAACTGAATTTAATTTAACTTCTTGCTTGGTGAAACTATTTGCATGTAGAATGACAATATTGGACATCGATCATTTTTCTATAAATAGATTCTGATTAAGGAATATGCATGTTATATATTGCTTAAAAATTCATACCGATACGTACATGTATAACGATATTGATTCGCTTGGTAGTAACAATTAAAAATTTTGTGTCGTTATCTCATTGTCAAACAATACACAAGCAATATAGATGAGAAAGGGATGCTGTGAATGAAAATGAATCTGTTTTTGCCAGATACTGTTCTGTGTCATTCTATTTTTTTTTTTTGATTAGACGCAGTAAGGAGCTTACCGGCAGTTGTTAGATTTTTTTGAGTGTCGACATGCTTAACACGATTTAAAATATTGAGCGAGATTTAAGAGTTTCTTAACCAATAACGATAAAAGAAATCGAATAATTCTCACACGGCGTTCAATTTCAAGCTTTTGTATTTTGTTTGTGTAAAATAAAGTTTCATTGATACACCGATCGTAAAGATAATTACACCGTCCGTATAAAGAACAATATTTTGGGTACAAGTTTCACAATTTCTGTTCTTCACCAAAATGCTCCAAGAACTTTATTTATTCTATTACAGAGTTAAATAATTTGATTTCAACGTTTGATTTTCACATGTATTTGATTACTCAATTCTAGTTTACAATTAATTTCTAGGCTTTTTATAATAGCATATATACTGAAAGTTGCGCTATTTTGCGCTGCAAAAAAAGCGAATTATTCATTTTTTAAACTCTTTAACTCGCAATTATTTTCAATAATGTTGATGAAGTCAAAATTTATCGTTCAAACGAATTTTAAAACATAAATTTTGACGTCTATGTTTTAAGATATATATAATATATAATCCGGGATCAATATTTCATCGAAAATAGGATAAAATTTATGCCTATTAAATCATCGAAATCGAATATTAATATCGACCAAAACATATTCATATTGATATTTGACAAAGGATTACTAATTTTATTTCTTAATGTTAACTGCTTTTGGTTAGTTTGGAACTAACACATTTATATCCTGTTTATACGTACTCCCCAGCAGCTGGTTTTTTTGTTCTCAATACTTCCCCTGTAGTCTCTTTTAGGTAACAAATTTTAATGCTGCACACAATCACATACGTAACGATAGTAACCAATGTTGTCAATGGAAGCACTTGGAAGATCATTGGAAGGTTCATTGGAAGACCATTGGAAGCAAAATCAATATCAAATTAAACTTTCCAATGGGCTTCCAGTTGTCATAAAAGCCCACTGGAAGCAAAAATTGACAACTCTGGATAGTAGATACCAATTTTAGTTATAAATTAAAGTTAGGTCTATATTTGAGGCCATGCAAAATAAATCACTTGCTTCTCATAACCCGGCTGAGTCACAAAAATGGGCATTACTTGGAAAAAAATGATTGTTTATACGAAAAAAGATCTGAGCCGTTGGCTTAGTTTATTCAAGATATTTTTAGAAATAATAATTGGTCCGGCTTAAAAATAGGGATGTTACAAAGACCGGTCCCGGTCTCATTTAATATAAATAACAATGTCCACGAATTATAATGTACATTTAAACAGGTAAATACACGGATAAACCGGAACTGCGTTAAGCTAGATTAAATATCGATAACTTGATTTATTTGAAAAATCATAGGCCTTAACCAGATATCTCGATAAATTTCTAATGTGTAAAAGTAAGAATGATAATAAAATTATGTATATTACATGTATAACCAATAAAAATAAACCATTTGACTAATTAGATTATAAATGGTAGCATAAATTAGACAATTTCCTAATATCTAATTAATTAAATTATTGAAAAATATACAATTACGTAACTATAAATGCTCGTAACAGGCTTATAACCACCCGAACTTCGTCTCGTTGTTTTCCTTTTCTTTTCTTCTCGTTATAAGAAAATTTAGTCGCTTTTTTAGATAATTGCTCGCTTTTGTTAGAATCCACCTGAAAGACTACTAATTTATATTAACTAAATTAACTATTCTAAACCAACTTATTTACTCATCTCTTTTGAACCGAGTCTGAACCAGTCCATAGTCTACTGTAATATCCCTACTTAAAACGATGATTAACGTTTCCTCTTTATCGTTCATCAAAAAGACCAACTTTTAACAAATATCTTTATTTACAAGAGTCTATTTATTGACGATTCCTTGGAAAGGGATTTGACTCATAATCTCTTTAAAGTCACACTTTTTTTCCTGGTATGATTGTGTTCAGTAATATTTGAAATGTGAATATACATATAAAAAAACTTTTTAAGTTTCAAATTGTTATTTTATTAATTTATCGCTGTTTGCAAAAAGGCGTATGGTGCATAACATATCAAACATTTATTTTATAAAATGTATAAACTTCTCAACTAAGTAAATACAAAATTTAATCCGTGAATATGCTCAAAAAGGGCTTATTCTATCATATTCGCGGATTAAATCTTGTATTTACTTCTTAGTTGAGAAGTTTATACATTTTATAAAATACAAATGTTTGATGACTTTAGATGTTATGCACCACCATAGTAGTCATGCGGATTGTAGGAAATCTGAATTTAGAGATCAATCAACATCGATATATCCAATATCGATATATACAGTGTCTCACACATGTAACCGAACACGAAAATTAACTTTCTAGCATTTTTATTTCCATGACTATTAGTTTGGACAAAATAGAAAAGTGTTCATTTGAAACCCTGAAACCTCTAATATTTTTTAAAAATAATTTGATAACAGATTATTTTGTGAAATAGAGTGGTTTAAATCAAAATTTACAATTAGTAAATTTCTCAATGAACTTTTTTTCTATGACGACTCCAAATTTGAACCACTAATTAAAAATTTTCTACTCTATAATATCTACTTATTTACCAATTTTCATAAAAATTAGCCTAATTTATATAGATATTTAAGATCCTAAACTCTGAATCTATGCTCGTAGCATTGATTTATGTATTAATGCTCTTAGCATAGATTCGGTCCTTCAGAATCTCAAATCTCGGTGAATTTGGGGCCAATTTTTATGAAAACTGGTAAATAGGTAGATTTCATAGAGTAGTACATTTT